CCGAATTCACTTTGTTTCGAGTGGTCAACGGGGAGACTGTTGCTGCTCACAATCTGGGGGTGACCAATGGCTTTGTGAAACCAAAACTAGGTAAGAGTTAACAAAATAATTCAATATTTCTGTCTAGAGAAAAGCTTAATGCTTCCACCCTGCCTTTAATAGCCTTTAATGTGGACTGCCATTTCAATATTTCTGCCAACTTGAGGGGATCCATGGCCAATACTTGGGCCAAGACGTCCAGGTTACTGGTCATTGTTTATTAACACGGATCCATTTTTAAAAAGTCAAATTGTCGCCACTGTGTGGTTCTGCACAAATGCAATCCGCAATGCGATTGGACGATAGTATATTGATACTGAGATCTCTGTAATCAGAAATGGGTTTTGCAAAGCACTTACAAAATGTTTTCAGACTTGTTTCTTCAACGTAATAATCTCTGCATATTAATTTGTGCTGTTGCCCAGACACTAAAGTGGACCCATTATGTTAATTTCCAGCTCCATTTTTTTTTCTTGGAATTTATTAAAGTATCTCTTTAAAACAAACCTTATATAGTACAACCTCAGTTCATTCAAGCCATTATGACTCCGTTCTTTCTCCCTTTGAGACCACTTTCTTTCGATTGGCTGCCCCTCGTGCACAGAATGTTAAAACAGCAGGTGGGTGGGGCTTCTGTGCTCACACCCACAGATCACCATATTAACATCCGCTCTCAGTGGCTCAGTGGTTAAGTGTTTACTGCACGCTGAAGCCTGTCCTTGTGGCCCACATTTACAGTATTTAATATGAGCATCAACGACTGGAACAGCATGCATGTAATATAATATAATCTGCCCCCCTTTAAGACTAGTCCCGGATTAAAAGAAAATTTAAATGTTTCCACTACAGGAAATGGGATATGAAATCTATAAAATGGGATTGAAACGTAATTATGCTTGTTTCTCAGCCCTGAAATAATAATACGTTTGTTGTGGATTTGTTTTTATTACGGGTGAGATGCTTACATTTTAAGTTTTATAAATGCGTAAACTTTTTCAGCACTGTTTAAATATAAAATGTGCAAACATATACATCAAATTGTGTCTAATTAACATTAATGTTTAAAGGTTTATTTATGATTGTAGAAACGGATGTTGGATAATCTCCACTTAAGTGCATTGCGGCGCTTTCAATTACACAGCACACAGTCTTTATCGCTGTTCATACAATTTGTAAGTGTTTTGTTCCTGTTGTTGTGCAAGCTGAGCTCGAAAGCTCCTTCTTAATGTTGGCAAATGCAGTTTTCAAGCTCACTTTTTCACCCAGCACAGACAAGGGAAGTCTAAACTAGCTCAGACGAATGGAAAAAGGATGATCAGAAAATGTATTGCCATGTAGTCATTTATTAAGAAGCCTCCTAAGCCCTCATGTATTATCTTTTTCAGTGCCCCGTCCTATCATTCACCCCTTATCCAGTCCCAGCAACATGTTCTGTGTGACCAGCCTGGACCCAGACACACTGCCCTCTGTGGCCACTCTGCTCATGGACGTCATGTTTTACTCTGGAGGGTAAAACATTTTATTACTTCATTAAGGCCCTGAAGGCCTTTTGCATGTTTTGCATGTTGCCAGGATTCCACTCAATCACTGAGAACATAGGACAGCATCTCTTTATAGTCTATTAATCAAATGTAGGATGTTACCTAAAAGGGATAAAACAGCAATTTAGCTCATTAAGAGAAGTTTGGCCACAGTGGAAAGTAGTATTCAGTTTTTTTTGTTATCTAATTATCTAAGTTAATCTAAAGTTATCTGATGTCTTCTGCTGGAGCCTTGTCAAGTCTGAAAAATTTTCTTTACTGCCTTCAATTATATGGGTATAAAAGGGTATAAAATTCAGGAAAGCTTATTTTCTCGAGAATAGAAGACTATTTTCACTTTCATTTCCTAGACAAGGAAGGAAAAATTAGGAGATGCTAAATGGTGGCATTTTGGGAAAATGTTCTGGAGCTCAGCCCACACAAGAGGCTGAGTGTCAGAGGCTGAGTGTCAGAATATGATGACCTGTGATGCATCAATTTGAACCCTTCTTTCATCTTTTATCTTTTTCACACATTAATCATCTTCATGTAAGTGCAGCACCAGAGCGTAAGACTAACCCCACACAATAATGAGAGAATAGTGTAAAATGATTCCATCCATTGTGTGTTAGTCTGCATAATTTGAGGGTTGTTTTTTTTTTTATACATATATGTTGTGTGCAGTAATACTTTAATTAGAGACCTTTTAGGTCCTGTCAAAGCAGGCATTAACAATGACTGCTTCATTCCACTTAAATGAGGCAATTTTAAGGCCTTCCAAGGTGTTTTGTGTTCATTCACTGAAATGGCTCACTAGGATACTAGTATCCTAGGGTACTCCTAGGATACTAGGAAATGTGAATTACAGCAATTTCAATGGGCATTTTCTTATTTTCTGGCTTTTGACAGTCAAAACACCTGCTGTGAAATAGCTCTATAAACTAAAAGGGGAAAAAAAGGACATCCCGGTCCACGTTGTTGCACTGCCACCATCTCTGATTATTAAATCAGTGTTGGTGTGGCTTCTCTGAGTTGAAAGTCCAGCTTGACAGGGCAATCAAGTTGAAATTCTAGCTTCTGATTTCAAATGGAATATGCCAAAGTTTTTTTTTAAAAAAGCAAGAAAATGTAGGATTTGTTTTCCTCCTTAGAAACAAGATCGAGAGGTACTCAGATTCCCATACTTGGGGCAGCAACTCCTCACTGACCCAGATTGGATATTCCACACTTTGGACATTTAGTGATATTTCGTCATCAGCTGCTCTTACCATCAGTATGAGTAAAGAAAAAAGCTGATTTGAACATGTACTCCTTGGCTGACTAACCACCTCTGCCTTACATGACGAAAGTTGCGTATACATTGCGTGCACTTTGAGGCTGGCTGCTAGTAGCTTGTGGACAATCCAGGGTCCTGTTGCCTAGGTGACTTTTAACTTCTTTACTAGCAGCTTATATGCCAATCGATGGTATTTTTCACTCTCATTGGTTGTCCCTTTATCACAGGCCCCGCCCACTTAATGTCTCTAGCTGTAGTTGCTTGAAGATATCAGATGTCTTCCACTTTCTATGGTCTCTGATTGGACACATTCGAGCGAATCGCTTCCAGTGTGCACATTGTTTAACAGATAGCAGTTCTATGACCTCATCAACTTTCACTGTTAGCATTGTTAGGGAACCCAAGGACAACATTACACATAGGCACGGACTTCAAAATCTTCTTTTTTTAAATGGAAAACCCTGAGTTCTTCAAACAGAAACCTGTCTACCTACTCAAGCTGTTAGGCAACACAGAGAGTTGAGGACCGTTTCGAGTTCCCTTGCCATCCATTCACACTCTGGCCTTTAAGACCCTTTTTATTTCCCTCCTGTGTAAGAGGACACACACTTGACAGTCTGCAAAGCGGTGCGTGCTTGTTGCAGCTAAAAGAAAGGTGTAAAAGTTAACTGGAAATTAATCAAAGTGTCACAGGTCCAATCAAAAACTGTATTGTTTTTGTCTTTGTCAGGCAAAAAGAGTCTGGAGCATCCAGTGAAGACTCGAACCACATCCGCTTCTTCTCCTTCTCCCTGATCGAGGGCTACATCTCTCTGGTCATGGATGAACAGACAACACAAAGGTAGAAGAAAAACACCCACCACTCAACATTTCATGTGCACTGCTGTTGTGTAATTAACTACACTTGTTCTTTTAAGGTTTTGTTGTCTGTTAATCGCCAATAAAAGGGCAGCTTGTATTCATGCAGGGGAGTGCGTTTCTGATTGTTGTTTGAGGTGGTGATTAGTTTGTTGCTAGGCAATAAGCAGAGCTATTGGGTGAATTGCACATAAGTCACAGTGGGTTTCAGTCTGACTCATCTGCTCCCTTAGTTTCTAACAGTGTACACTAATTAAGCAGGAGGGCCATCAAGGAACTTGAGCAGCTGCAGGTCCCACTTGGTTTCTCCTGTGTTAGCATCTGATCAAAGGCTGCCAATGAATTAAAAAAGGTCTGCATTATGTTGGTTAGTAACATCTTCAATCCATGTGGAAGTAAAATAACAACTGGAGTGAACTTGAATTGTTAAGTTTAGATTTTGTTTCTGCAGCATGTAGGTCAGCAATGTCCCCACGTTTTATGTAAGACCGAATGTGTTGCCTTAAAGGGATGGGTCACCCAAATTACTCTGCTTTACAATGGCTCTTTTCTTCAGTGCAGCAGGGTGCACAGCAGGCACAGACTTTAGCTGTTTTTGCACTGTGCTGAGTGGCTAGTGGCTTCTTCTGATGCACCTTTATCTGCTAACCATGCCTGGTGCCATAATTTGTTAAGTAAAGCAAAAAAAGGTCAAATAAAGCCACTCTTGGAAAACATTTAAAGATGACAGAGTTAATGAAATACTGGAACTGAATGATTTAATACTGTGTTTATGATGTCTTATTATCAAATCAAATCACTTTTATTGTCACATCACATGTGCAGGTACACTGGTACAGTACATGCGAGTGAAATTCTTGTGTGCGAGCTTCACAAGCAGCAGAGTTGTGCAAAAATACAATAACATAAAACAAGGAAAATATAAGAATGGCTAAGCTTATAAGCTTATTGGTAACAATTCAGAAATATGCAACACAAATGTGGTCATACAATTTCTATAAGTGAGTAACTTAACCAGCCTTTATGTGGTACAATTGTATTTTAATAAATATTGAAGCTAATATAATTGTTCTGGGGTTTTTTTTCTTCCAGGTTTCCAAACAATGTACTTTTTACCAGTGCCTCTGGTGAGCTTTGGAAAATGGTTCGAATTGGAGGGCAACCTTTAGGATTTGGTGAGTTTTTTGTTGCTGTAGTAATGGATAGAAGCAGGCCACATGCTACTACAGATTGATGCCAACAAAGCACATGTTCAAGTATCAAGATCAGCGTTGTCAGAACTGGTTTGATAACCATCCCAGTGTGTAGTTATCCAGGTAACTGTGGGTTTAACACCGAGTCTTTAGCATTAAAAAGGTGGTTCGCTTTTTACCAGGGTAGATTGCCATACTAACTGCAGGTTATACCTGAGATAAAAGATTAACAGGTATGAAATCACCACTGAAAACTTTGTCACTGTTCCTGGAAGATCTAAAGTCTTTATCTAACCCTAAACAGACAATAAAAAAAGACTATTTCCAGGAACTTTTTCCTGTTGCCCTTAATGTATGATCCTAAAACAAGACACCTATTTGTACTTGTAGGTTAAGCCTATGTTTAAATTATATTTTTCATATTTATTTTTTTTTTGCTGTGAGACCATTAAACACCAGGGCAGCTGGTGAAAGTACAAAACTGCACCTGTCTTACACACACCTGAAATTTCATGGAGTAGTAATAATCTGTCAGATTCCCCCCGCGCATAAAGCTGCAATACCGAGAAGTCTGCGAACTTACATTTATTTGTATTTTTGTCGGCTTTCCTTCCTGGCTTCAAATAAATGAAATTTTATTATTGCTGACCAAATATGTGGGTGTAATCCTATAGTTTTCCTCCCAGACACACTCAGACTGCTGAGACAAATCTGCAGCAGCTGTGTTGTTTTA